GGCAGGGACTCAGATAATTGCAAATGAAAGTTTGTTCAGTGTCCTTAACTTGCACAGATCTTGTTGAAAATCACAACTGCAATCAACAAAGCAGATCCTCCACCTCCTCCAAACTAATGAGACAGGATTTTAACAGTGCTCAACAATTTGAAGTGGTTTTGTTATTTCTGAATTCAGCCTTTGGTAAAAAGTCCTTATCTCCATCCTCCTTGCCCACTTCCACTCATCAGTCTGTGAGTGATTTGACATTTCCACAGACTCTTCTCTGTTATTGACCAAGTTTACACCTGCTGTGTCTCAAGTGAAAAAGAGTCTATTTTGTAGGTAAATCAATCTGAATAGGAGAAATACTGTAACTATTAAAAAATGAAGGATTAAACACCCCAAAATAGCAAGCCGGTGTCAACCTGTGAAGTAACAGAAACAAACTGTAGTAGGGAAATATGAAATGAGATACCTGAAAGCAGCATATCTCCACCCTGTCCATATATGATGCAACAGCTGGTTGATTACAGTTGTTTTAGAGTTTGTGGGTGTGCAGCTGTATTAAACTCAGTTTGAGATATCACTTTTTTTGCTTTCTGTTTGGAAGTCTTTGCAGAATGGAGCTAAAGTTGTTCCGGTGCCTTTGTTACTTATTTCTAAAATAATGTTTGCCATACTAGGATTGCTGGTTCATACCACAGTTTTCAGTTTCTTAGAAAAGTTAGAGCTCTAAGCATTTTTCTGTGCAAATGAAAACTCCATTTTTTGTCAAAAAAAAACTTCTGACATGTCAGGGAATGACACATCAAAATGCAAAGGCTAAAAAGCATTGTACTCAGACACTTTGCTTTTAATTACTATTAAGCATTATTAAATCAAGCTCTCGGTTGCAGTCTTTGTTTATATATTTCTTGGATTATTCAGCCTCTAATTTAAATAAGGACAATGCTGGGAAGGTTTCCATGGAAAATATTGCCAAGTTAATAACTTTGAAGCTAATTATGTGAAGATTCAAAGTGTCAGTCTTAAACTACACCTCTGACTAAGCCAAGCATGAATTTGGATATGCAAATGTTAAATTAGGCTCCTCATAATGTCCTGGGCTTCTGAATTGTGTTTGCAGGTGCTAGCTGCCGTGATGCAGCTGATCAGTGCTCCCCTGGGTGTTTTTCTTTCCTAATTTTCTTCCTCCTTGGCTCACTGGAGGCCCCTTTGTGGGCAAGTGTGCACATGATTTTTATGCCACCCTGCAATGTCTCTATTCTGCTGTGTGTGTTGGTGCATGCTCACTCTGATGCCTTCTCTCTCATTTCCCCTGTTATATTGGGGAAATATATTCTATATTGACTAGAGCAGTTTCCACAGAGAGTTTTTGAGAGTAATTGCTTATAATTGCACTTCTGCTATGATTTTCCATAGCTGGTAGTTTATCTCTCAGAAGAGCCTGGTATATAAAATCTCTGTTCAAGAAATTCTCTAAGAATTTTTCTCCTTCATATGGCAGCAGTCTCCCACTGCTGACAACAAGAGTGCATCAGAGAAGATGGCCTTTTGCAAAGCAGGGACTAATCTCAGCTGTTGAAAATGGGAGGCAATTAGTGTTTCTCTTTGAAAAGGCAATCTAAGGACAGCTTGAGTTTGTGTACATGGAAAGAACAGTTCATATTTAAAATCTCAGCTTTTTCTTTTTCTCCCATTTTTCCTTGAGAAAAGCAAATCTTTAGGTATGATGTTAGAACTCTATCTACATGTATCTAAATACTTTTTTTAGGGTGTTTGAAGAAAATAGAAAGTTTGTAGTGTTGCAGTTTTTCTTCTAAGACCTTGCACAGTGTAAGGGACATTCTAGGTAGGGTTCTCCAAAGTGGCTTTTTTGAGTCCAAGCTTATTAGATTCTGGTTTAGAACTCATAGCATAGTTATTCTGCAGAAGTTAATATTTCTCATAGCTGAGATGGAGATCAAATACCTCCAATTAATGCAAAATTCAAATTCGTCTTGAACTGTGGTATCACAACTGGCATCTCAATAATGAACTAACCACAGGAGGAAGCAGGTTTGTCAATGTACCATCACAAAAAGATTTGAGCATTCATCTGATCTCTTCTGGGATCATATTTATACATCTTGCTACTCTCTTGAAGTACACCCCCAACATACTGAATGGCACAAGAATATCTGATGCAGCACGCTTTGGAAGTGTGAGCTGCAGAGTCTTTTTAGTTGATGTATTCCAAGGTGGATAACCTTAAAAATCAATAGTGTCTGCTGTGCCTCTCAGAATCATGATGGACTGCTCCTTGCTGAACCTCTTGCTTAGGCTTTAATAGCTGATGCTGGGCTGCTGCAGATCCTCAGCACCAGCCAAGGCAAGGGCTGGAGCATCCAGGAGCAGGGCTGCTCTCCTAAGAAAATCTCTGTCTGCTCCTAGAATTTGTTATGTGAAGTGCTGCTGTTTGTTGGGGGATTTGGGGGCTGTTTTGAGTTTTTTTCTTTTTAAAACAGATTGCAAAAGTGTTAGAAGACAGAGTAAGTACAATGTAATAGTACAATAAAAGTGGTTTTCAAAGGGTCAAGCAGTAGTTTCACATTGCTTGTAAATACGGTATTTTCTCTTTAGGACAGAAGGCACTTTCTGTTTGGACTTGTAGTGCCCTAAAAATGGAAACAGCTATTAGGAAAAAATTATTAAATAGATTATCTTAACTTTGTGGAAAGTTAACTTTGTGGGGCTGTCATCAAAGAGAGGTAAAAAAATGCAGAGTTTTGTCTTCTCTACCAAAACAAAGTTCTCAAGTTGAAATAGATAGTTTTTCAGATACCAGTGACACCTCAGAAATTGTCTCATTAGAAAGAAAAAAATGTTTGAATATCTAGAAGCACAAACCACAAATAGGAATTTATGGAGAGGAGATGCCTGGGAGGTCTTGAAGATAGATTTCTTAAAGGGTCTGTGTATAATTCTCTGGGCTTTCTAACAGTTCATTGGAAAAAGAAATTAGAATGTTATCTAAAATAAACTGACAAAAGCTGGAGGAACAGGGGGAGGAGGAGGAAGATAATGAAGTATCAGATGTGATGCTCTAGCTGGTAAAAAACAAGTACTTTCTTTGCTGACCTCACCTTATGCATATATTAAGAGAGCACAGAGATATTCTCTTGCTCTCTTATTTTCGTAAGGAAGTAGTTTCTGTTGCCTCTGATCATATGCATAAAAAGACAGCATGTTACTCTTAGGCAGACTGAATCTAGTCATAGGGATAGAAAGCTTCTTTGAAGAAAAGCCCTAGAAAAATCCAGTAACAGAAATAGATTCCCACTGAGAGTTTACTGAGATTTTGCTGCTCTTCTGTGTATCAGTAATGAAGCAGACCATGGAGAGAAAGTAAATTGATGTCATGCCCAAGGTGTATGTGTTGGGGAAAGATCAAAGAAGTTTTTGTGTGTCATTGATGCTGAAAACAGATCTCTGAATGATGCCTTTCTCCTTATGGACTGCCAGTTTGGAGTTCTTCAGGGAATTGTATTCACAGATGGAAAAGGGACAGGTGGTGAGAGCAACAATGCTGGTTGCATGGTATGTCCCTTAACCCTCATGTTATAACATGTTATATGTAAAATTATCAAAGATATGTGAGAATTACTTGACTTTCATATTGTTAATTACTCATGAGGACACCAATGGATGATACTGCCTAGTGCTGTAGGGATATCTGCCTCTCTGATGTGCATTTCAGAGTTCTCAGGCTGGGCACATGGTTGTTACCTTTCTCAGAGCTTGTGCTCTCTCCGCAGGTGGGGCTGGGACTTGGCTTCCTCCATTTGTCTACTGCATTTATTTACCATGAGCTAGAGTCAGTTCAGCACTTGCAGACTTACGGTCTCTTGAAAGCAAAAAAAGAGTTAACTCTTGGTCAGGCAACTTAAATATTATCTGAGGTCTCTCAGGACTGCAATGAGTTGATGCCATGAGCTGATATCTTTGTACTGTGCTGACCAGATATTGCTTGTTGCCTGCAGTGATAGTTTGGTTTCCTGAAGCACATGAGTTCAATGGATGTTGTTTGGGGTATGACACTGGAGTGGTCTGTTTGTCTGTCTGATTGGCACTGGGAATTGGTAGCTGTGATTCAGTGTGGACTCCAGCCATTGGGTGGAAAATGCAAACTATGTTTTGGTTCTGACTATGTACAGCATCAGCCATGTTTGTGTTTATTAATGTTAATCTAATATCTTTATGCTTTTAAGCTGTTACCTATTTCATGGATATGGGATGTTGGACAGCTTTCATCCTTTTTATTTTCTGCTTGAAAACTCAAGCTCTTTCCCTGCAGCCACAAGAATTTTTTCTTCTAGGTACAATAAATAGGCTTTGTCATAACATGTAGAAGAAAGCCAAGTATTTTAGTAATTCCACATAAATATATTTTCTTGATTTTTTTTTTTTTGTTTGTTTGTGCCCTGGAACATTTTGAAGTGATTTCAGATAGTTTATCCAAATAGCAAATATTGAGCTGTTATGGATGCCTTAGGAAGGGAGAGGATTCAGCTCAGAAACTTGCTTAACATGTTAGATCCCCAAATTAAAATGTGTGTCCTCTCTTTAAAAAGTCTGACAGACTCTAATTGTTGAGTTTTATGTTATGAGTAGGTCACTACTATTATTTTTCCCTTCCAAAAATTGAAGGATGAAAAATTCAAGTGCAGATGACAAAGGCTTTATTATCAGGTTGTTTTTCTTTCATATATGGGATATGATTAAATGTGTGCTGTCAAAAAGAGACCTCTTTAAAGCCTGATACTATTGATTACTATTTGAGACCTGCCAGCAGCATTATTACTTAATGCATAAGAAAATCTAATAGAAAATTATTAAGTTGGTGCTTTAGTTCCTCTAGTGAGAACGTTTCAGATATTCATCTCATATCGTTGCACAAATTGCTTGGCTCAAGTAGATACCACAAAATCATGTTTTAATGATTTTTTTCCTTTTTCCATCTTTTATTTTTTTCACAGTCACATGACACAATCAGCCACATTTGAAGACCCTCGAATAGAGAGCTGCCAAATAACCCCTCCAGCCCCTCGGAAAGTGGAAATGAGGAGGGATCCTGTGCTAGGATTTGGGTTTGTGGCTGGTAGTGAAAAGCCAGTTGTTGTACGCTCAGTAACACCAGGTATGTTTTCCCCACTTGACCCCAGAAGAAAACTTTGATTTAGCCTACTAAGATGAAATGCAGCTACAAATTTGAAACTGTTGAAATATTCAGGCAGGCAAAGTAATCACAACTACTAGATATGATTTTTAGCCTTGTTTCACCCAGTGGTTTCCTTCCTCACACTCATTTTTGAACATTACATAAATGTATTGGCAAAAAGCCAGTTTGGAGTTATTGCTCAGAGCCATTACTATTGTTTGCCTGAAAAAAGTTAACCCATTTCATTCAAGGAAAGAAGGTCTTCTCCCTGGTATCTTTATATTGGTTTGCTGTCACCTTCATTACCATTGAATCAGCATTTTCAAGAGGTATGTTGAGTTCTGAGATTAAAACTTGCATATTTTTCATTCTTACCATCACCTTCCCAAAGAAAGCTAGTTTTCTAAAAACAATATCTCTTTCTGAAAAAGAGGATGTACTGCTGGCTTTTTTTTCTTTAATGAATGCATCTGTATAACTATATGGTTAAAAGCCGGGTCAAAAGATATCCCCAAACATCTTACCTGCAGTGGAAATTAGTGAGGATTGTGATCTCTTTGAAGTTATAAGAGACCAGACCTGGGATAATCTGTTTCCCAAATCACAGGCTCCTGCTCTATGCTCAAAAGTCCAGCTGTTATGTAAAATTGCAGCCAAGGGCAGGGATTTGACTTTGCTCCTATTCAATATGTTCTCCAGAACCCCCACAGAGAGCAGAGGAGAGAGAGGCAAAATTGACTCTGTGAAGTTCTGATGTCATTTACCAACGTGTGTGCATTGATTACATTTGTATTGCTTTCACATGAAGTGACCAGTGTAACTAATATTTGAACCAGATCCAGACAGCACATTTCTCTCAATGTGGCATTATTAATGTAGTTTTATGTTAAAATTTGGAAAATGTGTTTACTATGTTCTGTTCTGAGTGAATACGAGGAAACGTGAGCTCAGGACAACATTCTCCTACATGGATTTGTATCCATTTATGCGGTTTATGGAAGTGGAGTAAAGTTTTCAAAGCAAACAGGAAAGGATCAGCATTAGCTCTGTTGTTCAATGAATTGGTTTTGATGCTGAAACATTTTATTTTTAGACTTTATCTTCATAATGGTAATATTATTTGGTTTTTTATGTATCATTACTGCAGAGTGTAAAGACAAAGACTAGAGAGGATATATCTCTACAATAGGAACTGTGATGTTACATCAACTTCTGGGCATGTAAATGTGCTGAGAAACAAAGTAATATGTGCATTTTATAAAATACAGTGCACTCAATGTGCATTTCAGCAATGCCAGAATCCAAACCACATAGAAATATACATGACTGATTGTCTATTCAGACTAATGCTAAATATTCATGTCTAACTGAAAGCAGCAATGCTTTTGGATGTACCCATGTTCATCAAGTGGTAGGAATCCAGCAGAAAAGAGATTTCAAGCAGCTGGGGTATAAAAACTTTCTGTCTCCAACTAAAGAAAACAGGTCTGCTTTGCCTAGAATGGAAAAAGCATAGGAGAGACCTGTGAATGACATTCAAATACGTGAGTGATGTTTCATAGGAAAGAGGAATAAGATGTTCTCTGGCGTTACTTTGCCTGGGACAGGAAACAACATATTGCAACCAGGAAGATCTGGTATATTTACCATGGGAAAAGACTTCCTGTTCTTAACAGTAGATAAACAGGATCATTTTTTCACAAGAAAAGAAATCCTTCTCAAGGTGGTCTTACAAAGTATCAGACAAACATTGATCAAGGGTGATTAAAATACAGTTGATCACGCCTTAAAGGGTGCATAAGTTCATGGCTTATGGGTCCTTTTGGCCCTTCAGAAAACTAAGCCCTTAGTTTAGGTGGTTAGATTCAGGCTTAGAACTTGAGAAACTTCAGTAGAAGCTTCTAAACCACTAGCTTGCAAGATTTTCCTGGTGAGGGAGTACTGGTAACGTCAGAAATAATGTAAAAATGTCTTTAGCTGAAGAAAAAATACACTTGTAGTATATGAACAATGTTATCTGTGTGTTTACAATGGTCTGCTAACCTGTGCTCTTTTTTTTTCTTTCTTCATTTGTTGGCAGGCGGCCCCTCTGAAGGAAAGCTTATACCAGGGGATCAGATCATAATGATTAATGATGAGCCAGTCAGCACTGCTCCAAGGGAGAGAGTCATCGACCTTGTCAGGTAGTGGATGTCCTGTCACTTAAACTACAAACCCAGACTTATTGCCTTGTGCAGTCATTCAGTAGTACAGCAAGTCTTGCCTTCCCATGGCTGAGGAAAGAGAAAATAATTGTTATAAATGTTATAAAAGTTATAATGAAGAATGATGAATTACTTTAGTATTAAAATGAAGTGTCCTCTTAAAATGTCATCTGAGTAGCTGAAAAAGTATAAAAACATCCAGGAGTAGCTCCAAAGTACTTGGGTATCAAAAGAGGAATAGTATTTTCCTGGTATTAATTTTTTTGGTATGGATTGTTGAAGAGATTATTCCTGAAGCATGGAGCTCTAGTCACTGTTGCATTACTGTTCATTTTTCACATGAAGAAAGTTAAGTCAGATTTGTCTTATGTGAAGAATAAAGAAAATGTGGTAGGGTGATTTTTGAGAGTGAATGAATGCATGTTAAGTATATAGAGAAGCTCAAAAAATGTTTATATGGAATGCAGGTAGGTGAATTTGTGTGAAAGAAGCAGGCAGAAAAGAGAAGAAGACAGAAAACTAGACCAAAAAAAAGTGGCTGGGGATAATACAAGAAAAGATAAATGTCAGTATTTGTAATGGGATGTAGAAGGAAAAGAAGGACAGTGACTGATAAATGCTAAGGATATAGAAAAAGATGTATTGTGATTCATATAATAAATTTTGCTTTTGGAGTAACAAGAAATGTTAGTGCATTGCACAGAAAAATGGCAAGTAACTAAAAAAATAAACTTGAGAATTAATAACTTAAATTCCAGTAGCCTAATTGGTGTATCTGTGCTGGAAATAGCTCAGGAGAACAAAATATGATGCAAAAACCATTGAACAGCGCCCAGTTTTGTCTCTGTATTCTTCCCATTGGTGTAAACTCTGAATTGTGGGTCTTGTTGATTCCTGAGAGATGCTCAGGTTTTAATGGTACAGGTACCTCTTCTCAAAAGTTAGAGCTATCAGTGTTTTCACTGTTACCTGTGTAATTTTGAGAAGTCACATTTGTTTACAGAAATTTGGCCAGGAAGTGTCACAGTGGTTGTAGTCCTCCTGCAAACGGCTGCTCGTTTGCTGGGGATTTAGCTGAAAGAAAACTGTACCATCCAAAGATGGTACAGAAATGGTATAAAAATGCCAGCAATGCTGATAGCCTTCATCTGTGTCAGGTGGGATTAAACTATATTTTGAGATTTTCTTCAAAAAGGTGTTAACCTGCAAGTCAACTAACAAATGAAACATGCTAAGAGCTTCTTGTGATGAGTAGACTCCTTAAACTGAAAGAACTGTCCTGCTCCTAATAAAGTTCTGTCTTGTGCTCTGTTTTGACTATTGGTATAAGCCTCCAAAATGGTCTTATTTCTGAGGTCTTAGTTTCTCAATAAAGCAGTAATATTGTCTTCTTCATTCTTTCCCTGATTCTTTGATATTAAGCTAAGTTAGGTTCTCTAGCTCATTTTCTGCTTCTAGCAATAAGTAGTAATAACAGCAAGGAAAACAGACTGATTAGACCTGAGACAAACTTAAATTTATTGTATAGTTGATTCTCTGTCTGCCTTCAAATGAAATACTCAATTAGAATGTCACCCTTCCCAATTACATCGACTACATAAGTAATGTCAAATTAAGCGTTGTTTCATTCCAGGGAAAGCTTTAGGTGATGCTTTTCCTATACTGTAATTCTACCTCTGCTCTCAAAACCTGTACACTGTTGGGATTTTGACAGAGACTCATTCTTTGATGAAATTTGGAGTGAAATATATTGGGGTTGTATGTTACAGCATTTGAAAAGAGCTTTCTTTTCATGCCAGTGGGCATGCCTGGAATGACTAGACACTGTCAATGAGCAGTCCTGACACCACGGCAGAAGCAAGTCTTTACACCAATGAAATAGTGAATCTCTTCTGTATAATTGAAGGTTTTCATATGGGCTAGATACATTTACAACTTTTCAATGCATCTGTATTTTTCAACGTGCACGGGAGAAGTTTTGAAATCTTGTTTTCCTGCAGGTAGCAGCATGTCAGTGGTTGGCAGTGAGGGTGTTTTAAATGCATGGGTTACACAATGGGCATAATCACAAAAGCATAGAAGAACTGAGAGGAGACTTCTGGAGGTCATCCAGTCTAACCTCTTGCTCCAGGCCAGGTAGTATCAAAGTTAGATGTGGCTGCTCAGCACTTGCCTAATCAAGTCTTTAGTATCTCCAAATATGGCGATTTCACAACCACACTGGGTAGATGTTTCAGTTCCTAACCAGTGCCCTTCAAAAACACATGAGCCAACTTCTTCATCAGCTTTGGATGCATCCCATCTAGGCCCATGGACTCGTGAGTGTCACTCTTACCTAAGCAATCCCTAATTCAACCTTTGTCTGCCTCCGTTCCCTAAATTCTGTCACTGAGCTCAGGGACCAGGGTAGCAGACCTTGCCACTAAAGGCCAAAGCCAAGAAAGCATCAAACGTCTGAGCTTGTTCAGTATCCTTCATCAGGTTACCCACTCAATTTAGTAGTAAGTTTGTACTTCCCTTGGCTTTCACTGCTATTGTGGTTGTAGAGACCCTTCTTTTATCCTTCATCCATCCTGGATAGTTTCAGTACTAATTGAGCTTTGCAAACCCTATCCCTGCCTGGCCAGGCACAGCTTCTCTGTTTCTCCTGGGTAACCTGTCTCCATTTTCATCTCTGATCTCTTTCCATTTTGCACTGGGTCTTGTTCAGGCTTTCCCTGTGGAGCCACACTGGTGTCCTGCTTCCTTGCAGATTGGAATAGACCCTTCTGGAAGAGGCTCTCTGCTCTGGCCTTTGAGAACTGCATCCCAAAAGGACCTGCTTGCCAGAGCCCTGAACAAGCTGCAACTCTGATTTTAGACTGGACTCCTCTTTCTCTTTTTCTTCAGGATCTTAAACTGTACTCTGTTGTGGCCACTGCAGCACGTTAATGAGAAATTGACATTCCAACACTATTTTTTTTCTGTAGTCTCTTGCTGATTGGGTATAACAAGGTATATTTTACATTCATGTGAAATTCAATGCCTATTTTTATGCAGCTTTCCCTCAAAGCTTTTTGTAAAGTTGGCAAGCAATTTGTCATTATAACTGCAGGGAGTGTGGAAAAAATCTACTTTCAAAATACTGATATAAAGATCATAGCATGTCAAATAGAAAAAAACCAACAAATTGTGTAAGAAAAGAAAAGGGCAGATTTCACAACCAGGTGAGCATCAAACTTCACCAGGATTAGGGAAGCCCAAAACTTCCAAGCAAAATACAACTAAATGTTAGATGTTAAGTCAGACTTGAATGTTAAACAGTTTTTAATGAAACACAATATTTTTTTTTCCAATAAAACATTGTCAGAAAATTAACTTGTGAAAAGAGCTATGAGCTTGAAGAAAAAGAAAAGGATGAGGCAATTCCTGCTTTCTTAAAAAAAATACAAAACTTTCAAAAATTTTTTAAAAAAATTAAAAAAATTCAAAATTCCACCAAAAATGGTAACTGAAAAATGTCAATTAAATCTTTTTTGTTAGGAAAATGCATATCCCTAACCAATAAATTAGCTTTATTTCTAAATTTCCCACAAAATAAATGAGAGTAATTTCTTTTAGATCATTTTTTTTCTTCAGCCTTTTTCCTATCAGCTCCAAATTCATTGTCTAACTGTTACCCCTACAGGATAAGAAATAGATAGACTAGTTTTTCAAGAAAGTCCCTTTTTTGTAATGGTTTTACTACAGGAAAGTTAAATGCAATGTATAATACAGAAATTTTCCTATTGGCTTTTTATTACATTGTAATATTTTAATTATGTGTGGGCTTTTTAAACATTCATTACTGAAAATAATCTTCCTTAAGTAGAAAACTGTTATAGCCACTTCTGCTGACTGCAGGGGGTACTGAGCAGGAACCTGGTGAGAGATTTTCTTTTGTTTTTTTAAGAATGAGGGACAATCTTGTATCCTAGGAAGTCTTAGGTCTGGAGATTATCAGGGATGTTCATTATAAATATCCCCTGTAGGTCATTCTGATCCATTGAATTCTTTTGGCTCTGCTTTACTGGCAACACTTAATTAGTGTTCAAGTTGTCCTTTGAAAGCCAGGGTTGCAGAAATACGAATCAAGTGTGGTTTGCAGACAAAATGCATTTGGACTCATTATTTCTGGGTGCTGTTCAATGGCTTTTGCACCATCTTTTGTTCTCCTGAGCTATTTCCAGCACAAACTCAGAAGTCATGTTTATGGTTTCCCTTGCAAAGAGAGGTCAGTTTTATGAAAGTCACTTGAGGCTGTGGTCAAGATGAATTCCATTCAAGACAGACAATTACAGAACTTTAAAAAGAGGAAGAAACAAAATCACTTTTCTAAATGTAAGCTTCAAGTCAAGGCAAGTAGCAAGTGAACAGAATACAAAGGATATATTTGAAGTGCAGTCAGTTCAAAATTTATCAGGAGCTATTTATGTTGGATTTATTTTGCTGCTGATATGGATTCTGTGAGTTATAGCTTTTCACACATGCTTACAATAAGTATTTTGAGGTACCATTGATGTCATGGCACAATGGAGCAATTTTTTCCTTATATGACAGTGAGCAACAATGCAACACTGACATATTAGAATGTATATGAGTGTATGGTATCAATTAATTGGTTGCTCAGAAGTTCATGTATCTCATTATCATTGGTTAACGTTATATTTTTATCTTTTAAGAATCAGCTTAATCAACCCTTTTTTTTGAAACAAAGAAAAACATCTAACAAGTAATTTGCCTTTTTAGCTGTTCATGGGCAACTCCTATATCATTAATAACTTGTTTTTCTTAGATTGCACTGAGTAGGCATTAGTCTACAAGGATCCCAACTTATGTAAACTGTCTTTTTATTTAGCAAGGCATTTTACTGAAATTTTAAGTGACACACAAGTGTACTGCTTCCTCCATAAACAAAACAGTGAGTAGTGGCATGGCAGTGGTACTTTGTTCACACTTTA